GTGAGCTTAATCATTCATCTACAATTTTGGTTGTTTTCTATCTCGTTCTTGTTTGTGTTCTTCGATTGGCAAACAGGGATTAGCCTTCTCGGCGATGTCATCCGCATTTCGACACGGTGATAACCAGAGGAGATGTGGTGCTGCGATTGCGGGGCTCAAGAGCGTGCGTGTTCAAGAAGCTGGATTGATTTGTGTCTCGACTCCGCCCAAATCGTTGTTTATCAGAACCTTTCAGAAGATCGGGAACCCTAGTGCACATCACCCAATAGTTGGTGTGTTGATTTGCCGGGTCGATTGGATCTACCACTTCAATCACAACTATTCCTTTGTGCTTAATCCCCTATTCGCAATATTTTGATTGCATCTTATCTTATTCTTGCAGTGTTCTCTCGTTTGCATTGCAGGGATCATCAACCGTGCGTCACGGTTGGTACGACATCGTTTGCGGTGTAGCGATTGCACGGCGTCCTAGACTTGTTTTGGTTGATAGCCACGTCGCAAACATCGCACTCGATCAAAGCGAGAGTTATCCCCTCACCAGGAGATCGGGCCACGAGAGAGAGCATCATCAGTAGTCCAATACAATTTTAGTTAAATTAAAAGGTAGTGTATCTAAATTTGGAAGGTGTTGCATCATAAACTTTTTTATGTCGAGTTAAAATAGAGATCTCTCGCACCGGTCGGTTGTAGCAATCTCTCACACCCCGACTTCTAACTGTCGAGAGATGCATACTCCTGGTTGTACACTAGTCGTTTATAGCGATCTCTCGCACCTCAACTTCTAACGGTCGCAAGGGACTCCGCGGGGGGAGCCCTCGCCGGGGCCGGAATAGTCACAACCGGAGTAGTTGGGGGGAGGGGGTATAGACCTCGCACCCAGCTCGGAAGAGGGGCAGCTCTGGGTGAGGGGGGGGGGGTCGGAGGAGATAGCTCGCACTGGGGTCGGGAGAGGCGAGGATGAGGGGGAGGAGGAGGGTCGCCGGAATCTTCACCGCTAGGGGAAGGAGGGGAAAGTGGGGGGCTCGCCGGCGGCGTCGCCCTCGCTAGGGGAGGAGGGAAAAGTGGGGGGAGGGAGGACGGGGGGTGGGGAATGAGGGGACGGATCTGTGAAAGGTTCGACGTGGTGTGGTGCGTGCGTTAGCGTACTATGGGCGATGGCAAGGCGGGGTAATTTCGGGCAAAAGGGTCATGCTCGCGCGGCGCTGTACTTACGCGAGTGAGTGTAGGTGTAGCGCCATTAGAGGTTGACCACCACAAAAACAAAAACTGTGCGACGCATTTTCTTATAATTAATTAAGTATTTACTATTTTTTATAAAAAATATATTAATATGATTTTTTAAAGCATCTTTTGTAAAGAATTTCTTTGGATTAGTAGTTTGAAAAGCGTGCACGTGGAAAATGGGGAGGTGAGTTAGGAAAGCGTGCTACTCTTTCTGTTTTATATTACAAGTCATTTGATTTTTATCCAAGTCAAAAAATTAAAGTTTAATTAAATTTATAAAAAAGGGTGATATAGTAGTATTTTAATATAAAATAAACATATTATCAAAATATATTGATGAAATTAATTTGGTATTGTAAATATCTTCTCTACTACTTACAAAATAAAAGATGTTTCCGCCGTCCGTATAAAACTAAAAAAACGGCGAGAAAAAAATTCTGTTAAAAAAAAGGAAAAGAATGTCTGGCTCCCCTTAAAAAAACGTTTGATTCCTTAGAAAAAGGACTTCTTGTCCGTATAAAAAAAGGAAGGACTTCTCGTCCGTAAAAAAAAAGTCCTAATTCAAAGTCCATAAAAAAAAAAAGGTCAAAACGCTCTACCCATACATTTTCTCATCTAATTAATTCCAAAAATCGATTCTCTATTCCGTCCTCATCCTTTCCCAATTTCCCCTTTCAATTTGGTTTTAATTCACCGAATTTAATCTCCATTTAACGGTTGTCAATGATGGCCGACCGATGATTTTTCCCAATCCCAAGTATTGCAGTTTCGTTCCGATTTTGCAAAAAATAGAATGAGGAGATCAAGTGGATCAAAATCACTCAATAAATTTTCAGTGATCAAGAATATTTGATGGGATGATCCGGAAGCAGGCCGAGCGAAGGGAGGTAGGACACAAGGCTTTTTCAATTTATTCCTCAACTCCTAATAGTTGATGTACTACTGGAAAAAAAGCCTTTACCTATTGTAACACATGGGCAAGTTTCCATCATCTTAAAAAAGGAAAAAAAAATCAGACCCTAAAGCGAGAAAAACGCCATTATAAGAAAATCTGTTCGTAAAAATCACCTGACTCAACACGAGGAGAAAAACTGTCGTTTATAAAAATACCAGTTATAGAAAACGTCCGACTTAATGTGAGATAAAAATCGTTGTATATAAAAAAAGATTAAAGAAGTCCGAATCCACACGAGAAAAAGTGGATCGAAAAAACCGTTCGACCCCACGCGAGAAAAAAAAAGTCATTTATAAAAATACCGCTCTGAAGAAAACTATCTGACCCAATGTGAAAAAAAACCCGCGCTTATAAAATAATCCGGTTCGGCACTGTGCAATGAAAAAAAAAAAGTACCTGATTTCAAGAAAAAAAAATCCGATTCCATGAAAAGTAGTCATATCGTTTGTAAGTTCCATCGTCTCCTGTGTCAGTTTGGTTTTTTCAAAACGTTCGTGGAATATTTTGGTGTGAATTCTTGTTTGGGTTTTTTTTTTCTCGGAACGAGAACAAATTGATCGAGGCTTGGTTGGATAGGATCATCAATTTTTTTCTATCTCCTACACGTCTTGTGTTCCATGATCTACTCTCCTACTCCTTCCATCCCATAATATAAGCGATTTGGGAGGGATGCGACACATCGTAGTACTACGAATTGGATATAGAGCATGTCTAGATTCGTTGTACTAGGATGTGTCGCATACCTCCCAAATTCCTTATTTTATGGGACGAAGGGAGTACGTTGGAGGCCTTGTACGTCTCTGTATGCAATTATCAGACTACTTTGTTAAGTATAGCTAATATTAATATTTTTGATACGTATCATATAAAAATAATTATATATTAAGAGAATAGTTCACGGTGACTCTGTTTTGTCTAGACTTGACCATGCGAGATGTTGACGGTCCTTACATCATAATATCTGACTGTCAATATTTGCATATAATAAAATAAAATATGGTATCTAACTTAGTGGTAAGAATTATTACTGATCATTTCCATTAGTCTTATTAAAAATATGAAAACAAAAATAATCATGTACTAATACTAGCTCGAGCTCCTTTGCATCAGGACCACCCATGGGCCGTGGGCCCGAGGCCAATCCTGCTAACCGAAGCACGAAATAGGAGAGCCTATCTCAGAGTCACGCAAGGTTGGTGGCAAGAACAGAAACAACTTCGGCTTCACTCTCGTGAAAGAAAAATAGGTTACTGGCAGAGTGGAATATGTGGGTGGAAAGTGTATGATTTGCTAACGCAGCTATTGGCCATTGGCATGACTGGTTAGATTATGGCCTCCTATAAATAAACCTAATAGGTTAACATTTAAGATGTATAATATAGTTTATTGTTATTAGTTAACAATTCTTTCAATATCTCAACTTCTTTTTTATTTGATGTGATTTGTTTTGTTAGATAGTGGAGCAAACTAGATAGCCATGATTAGTAGGAGTGATACAATAACACTGAATTTAATGCTCACATATAAGAGCATCTCCAATAGAGGACTACAAAATAGTCCCTATAAAATAGTCCCAAAAAATATTAGATTAGGACCAACCCATAAATGATTGGGCACAAAAATCTTCATCTCCAGGAGATTCTCAAAACTTGAATCCTAAAAATAAAAATATGGTTGTTGGCCTGTAGGCCGTGTGGGTAGCTAGGGTCGTCGCTCTCTACCGCTTACCATTGCAGTTCTCTGCCACGTGCAATCGCCGTACGCTTCTTTTTCTAGCCGCTCTACTTTTGCGCCCCCGCCACCACTACTGTTGTTCGGATTGACCGATCGTGTGGAGAAACGGAAGACTAAGTCATATGGAAATCATGCATTGAGACTAATCCATGCAACCTCCCTTTTCTGTAGAGATTTTTACGAAAGCGTATCGGTAAACATTTGTTTATGGGAGCTACTCTAGTCTGCAGTACCAAATGTATTGCACATATCCATTATTGTCACTTCTCATATAGCCATAAAAAAAAGCTGCCACATTATCAACAAGTTTGATATAATCAGTAAGTAACAAGAAAGAAAAACCTGAATACAATGCACACACATTGTTCTACTGATTCGACAGTCACCTAGTTCAGTCAGTTTACTCTATATGACAACATAACAAAATTTCCAAACTGCAGATTGGTGAATAATACAGCAAATGAAGAAAAGGGGAAACAGTTCGATAAAATGGTTCTAAAAGCGCGTTTTGAATGTAGTACTCCCTCCGTTTTGAAATGTTTGACACCGTTGACTTTTTAGCACATGTTTGACCGTTCACCTTATTCAAAAACTTTTGTGAGATATGTAAAATTATATGCCTACATAAAAATATATTTAACAATGAATCAAATGATAGAAAAAGAATTAATAATTACTTAAATTTTTTAAATAAGACGAACGGTCAAACATGTGATAAAAAGTCAACGGCGTCAAACATTTCGAAACGGAGGGAGTAATTAGCTAGGTCCATCATCCTATAGTCCAAATTCAAAACACATGTACAGAGCTGCCAAGTTTTCCAGGATTTCCATGGCAGAACAGAGCATAGGGTTACTAATATAGTTAGTGTTTTGATATACGAAGCTAGACCTTAAAAACCTAACCAAATTAAATTAGGCTTCATGGTGAAGCACTTTTAAGATTTGCAGAGAACAATAGCAACACCAAAAACAAACGAATCATGAAGTAGACAGTTTACATTTCAGAGCATAGTGTGATGTGGAATAGGCTGTTGCATAATTTCTGAATAAGGTATAGTACAGTAGGAAACCACACACAACTCGTCTTCTGAAAGATATATAGATGCACCATTTATCAACTAGCTGGAATTCAGTGGACTTGTAAGCACATTCATTATTTTTAACTGCCAATTCAATAGAATGCCCACCAAACTTTAGGCTGCAGATTCAAGACAAATGATTACTCATTACTTTTTTATCACCTACTTGGACGCCTGGAGCATGACAGCAAGTAGCAACAACAACCTGAAGTCGATCATATTGCAATTTCAGTTTGTCCTACTCAGTTTGCACAAAGATTTTCTGGTAGGAGTCCATTCCCCCTCAATCAGCAAAAGTAGATTTTTCCCACATGTTAAAACGGCATCAAGCAGTGCATTCACTTGACAGCTACACTGAGAGTGCATCAGTCTATCCATTGAAAACATGCAATGCATCATTCAACAAGAAAATGCTAACGAGAGAGACCAAGCGACGTTCAGGGGATCGTCGTTTACCTGCAACACGGGATCCGGTGACCGCCAACGAAGGGGATGCAGCACCATAAGATGGAGCGGGCGAGGCAGCCTGGAAGGAGGTAAGGCCGTGCGGTGGCGCCCTTGAGGGTCCTGGATGGAGGTCAAGCTGTGTGGTGGTGCCCTCGATGGCCCTGATCGGAGGGGGGCGTCGGTGACATAGGTTGTGACTTCCCTTTAAACTTTCAAAAAATGTCACATTAAATGTTTGGAAACATACATGGAGCATTAAATATGGACAGAAACAAAACCAATTACACAGTTTGCATATAAATTGCGAGACAAATCTTTTAAGTTTAATTGCGCCATGATTTAACAATATAGTGCTATAGTAAACATTTGCTAATAACGGATTAATTAGACTTAATAGATTTGTCTCGCAGTTTACAAGCGAAATCTATAATTTGTTTTGTTATTAACCTATGTTTAATACTTTAAATGTGTGTTCATATACGTCAAAAAAATTTTTATAAGGAACTAAACACAGCCATGGAAGGAATGGAGGCGAGCATGGAGTTCAACAAAAAATGTTGTGATTCCTCGGATTGGGGGCCTCTGCACCTTGGATGAAGGACTGGCGCTGCCATAGGTGAGGAGACAATTAATCAGACAAGTCAACGAAGGCAAGAACGCGGCTTCATCCGGAGCTATGAAGGATATGACCCAGGAAGCCTACGGCACGAGAGGAAGAGAAAAATGGTGCGTACGGAAAAAATTGGCGCTGGCGGCCCAAATCTACTGTGGTTGGGAATGCGCAGAGCATCCCAAAATCTGGTTAGGATTGGCACCGATTTTGGATGTGGGTGAATATAAGGGCCATATAGGTACGTAAAATCTAAACCGAGAGGCTTCTCGCTTTAGTCGTATCACGCGACACGGCTCACAGCCGTTCGATCGTGCCTGTCATCCCGACGTACATCTGCGTGGCTGCGCTCTAATGGCTCAATAAGAAGGATCAACGTAGTGCCTGTTTGCCTTTTTTTAATAGATACGTATGTCTTTTTTCTCCTCAAATAAAGTTTTCTCTCAAATTACTTATCCAATCTATAATCCGATTACACCATTATGTTCATTACAATTAAATCTTCACAACAAGATCTTACATGATTATATTACGATGAAAAAATATTTATATTTATAAATTACTTTTATTATATACGTAAGTTACTTTTATCATATATATAAGTTACTTTTAGATTTGACTAAATTACTTCTTAGACATATAAAAGTAAATTCAATAAAGTCTAAAAGTAATTTACATATATTATAAAAGTAACTTAAAACCAAACGGAAGTAACTTTATCACGATATTAGAAGTAAATTCATTGTAGGGATAAAAATATGATTTTATCTCGAAATTAAATTTAATCAGTACAGATTAACACAAGTAAGTTTAACATTTTTTAAAAGTAACTTCAATGTTAATTAGAAGTAACTTTTGCATGGTTGAGAAGTAACTCTCTGTAAATCCGTTTAATAAAAAGAAGATAAAACCTTTCATGGATTGTAAATAACATTGATGGAATAACTTTTAGGCTTTATTGAATTACTTTTTTAGTCCAAGAAGTAATTTAGTGAAATTTAAAAGTAATTTAGATATATTATAAAAGTAATTTATAATTTTTCATCAAAATATAATCATGTGAGAACTTGTCATAAAGATTTAATTGTTACGAACACAACGGTGTAATCGGATCGTATATCAGATGAGTAGTTTAAGAGAAAAGTTTATTTGAAGTATAGGTAGATAGTATCTTTAATAGATGGAGTGGTAGCTGGTTTCTGTGTATCCATGTCCTAATAAATAGTAGCGTATAGCGGGTTGTTAGTGGATTAGCGTCTGTGTAGAGTGTTGCGGATAGCGGGCGCTAAGTTCCGATAGCAAATATAAGAAAATAGCCATAAATATATCAATATTAACATAAATTTCACGTAAAAATTAGAATTAATAATACATTTTTAATTACTCCTATATTTCATAACATAAAAAAAAATATGAAATCACATATAGATTTATAAGATAAATAAGATAAACAATGTAAAGTTCTACAATCCATATATGAAGAACAACATTTAAGCGTTACAATGGTCCAACAAAGTCAATAGCGGGCTGTTATAGCGGACACGAAGCGCTATAACAGGCTGTTATAGCAGTAGCGAAATGCTATAGCGGGCGCTAAGTTACAACATGCTATCTTCAGTCTGCTACCTCGTAGCGGTAGCGGTAGAGGTCCGCGCTATAGTGGGTGCTACGAACGCTATTTATTAGCTTGTTGTATATGTTGGATGTATGGTTTTTCGCTAAATTCCGAATCTGATTGGAACTTTTTTTATCTCTTTTGGGAATCTGATTGGACCTTTTTTTTATATGCTCTAAACAGTGCGAGCAAGGGAGTAAATAGTAACAGGAAAATGATTGATATTAATACTAGCAAGAATGGCACGATGAGGTGGTTTACAACGATGTTGGAGCAGGAGCAGCTCTCGTCCTCCCTACCGCCAGCAGGTCGTTCTGCATGTATAAGCTGCCTTAACCTCAGCAACCTGACATGTGCCTCAGCCTCAGCAACGTGATCTCAGTTATTGCATGCTCTCCGTGCCGTATGCGCTGTCGTAGGGCAGGTGCTACTACATAAGAAATTTTTTGAGGACCCTGGTTAGGCTGCAGACGGATCATAATTGTCCACGTCTATAAAAATCAGCCTTCAAATTCATATACGGTTTAGTAAGATGCCCGCATTCGAAAATCGATTTTCACAAACGAACCTAGACGCAAGTGAAAATAAACCTATTTTTACGAGATATTTAACTGTTTACTACTTTTAGATGTGGCAAATAACTATTTGCCACTGGACCCAAATGTCATTAAGATAGAGGTGGCAAATAGTTAAATGCCAAATCTAAAAGTGGCAAATAGTTAAAAGCTCCTATTTTGGCATGCGGTCCCTTAACCACATGCAAAAATACATTTTCGTATACGATGCCTTAAGTGATCCGCATACAAAAATATCTCCTTTTTTTTCTCCCATCCTCTCTCTTTCCCTCCTCACCACTTCAATTTTTTTCACCCATCTCCTCTCAACATATTTTCAATCCTCTCCTCCACTCCTCTCTTCCTCTCCTCTCAAAATCCTCTCCTCAATCTCTCTATCTCTCTCCCTCCGAGTGGGCGGCGATGGGCGGTCAGCAGTGCCACCGTCATCCCCTTCCTCACCGCCACCGACGACGACGAGGAGGAGGCGATCGGCTCCATCCCCCCCGACGCCGCCGCCACCGACGAGGCGGCAGCAGCGGTTGATGCCATGCGGCGGGCCTCCTCCTGCCCATATCTGGTGATGGCGGCGGGAGCGGTCGGTGGCTCGGCGATGGGAGCAGTGGCGGTGGGAGCGAACGACGGCTCACCTCCTCCCGCCCACATCTGGCGACGGCGGCAGGAGTGGTCGACGGCTCGGCGACGGGAGCAGCGGTGGTGGGAGAGGACGGCGGCTCACCTCCTCCCTTGCATATCTGGCGACGGCGGTGGGAGTGGACGGCAGCTCACCTCCTCCTGCCTAGATCCAGTGGCGGCGGGCCTCCTCCCACCCAGCTCCGATAGCAGGACCGGACGGCGGCGGAAGCAGCGGTGGTGGGAGGGCCTTTTCCCACGATGGCGGCTTGCCTCCTCCCGCCTAGATCCAGCGACGCAGTGGGAAAAACTTTTGTTGCTATATAAAATATCCTAAAAGATCCATGAATAAATAGGTATGATCGTGAGTGATCTACGAATAAAATCTATATTGCCTTGTCTTGCACAGTACTACTGGTATGGTCTGCTTTAGACAGTGAGGTAGCTTGCCTTGCCCCAAACCAGTTTTTCACTAATTAATGGCTAATTAGGTGCATGAATCGGAGGTGGGGCTGGCGCCCTAACCAGCCCAACAGATCTCCCACTGTGGCCACCTCGCCTTCGACGGCTACAGCCAGATAGCCATCGGCCTCGTATATGTTAATGGCTAATTAGGTGCATGAATTGGAGGTGGGGCTGGTGCCCCAACCAGCCCCAACCGTGGATCTCCCACTGTGACCACCTCGCCTTTGGCGGCTACAGCCAGATAACCATCGGCCTTGTCATGTACATCAAGCTCTACCTCCTTGCCATCAGCTTCCTCATCCTCGAGGGCGACATCCTCGACAAGCTACTCCCTAGCACGTGGTGGAGATCCTACGGTACCAGATGTGTACGGGAAGCAGTTGTTCATGCTCGCTGCGGGTGCCGTCATCCTCCCGACGACGTGGCTCAATTACCTCAGCATGCTCGCCTATGTCTTGGCGGTCAGGCTCATCTCGTCGGTGGCGTTACGACATCGCTGGTTTGGGTCGGCATGTCCGATAAGGGCTTCGACATAGAGGGCAACTGCCTCTTAACCTGAGAGGGTCCCTCAGCCTCTACTTCGTCTGCTTCGCCGGCCATGGCGTCTTCCCGACCATGTACTCCTCGATGATGTCTAATAAGAATTTTGCCAAGGTACACCTTTTAAAATGTATTTATGTGTTGTTGATAGTAAGTTTGCTAAAATTTGTGATAACAATTAACAATGTAAATTTAGAATTATGGTTAATGAAAATTGAAAAGTCAATGGTGGAATTAAGTTAGCAACAGGTTTAGTAAGGATACAAACATATTTTTTTTATTATATGGATGCATGGAAGACGCGCACACTCATAATTACTTTTTAGATTTCGTACATCACTAATCATGCACACTATACTCGCACACCTCTTAATCATCATCGCTGCTATGTTCCCATTATACTCACCATTGCATGGCCTCATATCATATGTTTTGTTGGCGCTCCCATCTATATAGATTGTGCAGATAAAGTTTAAGCTAATAAGTTTATTTTGATCGTCTAATTAAAAGTAAGAATTAGGATCATACGAAATCAACATTAAAATCATTTATTAAAATAAGTTGTACCATCCCTTAAAAAAATGTTGTACTACTTATAAATTTTATAAATTTTGTAATGTTAATTTACAATGATACGGAATGGCGAGTGCAATATGGAATTAATGGCAAGTGCAATATTCAGATTTTAGCATTAATATTTTTTTTTGCATTATGACGTAAATTAATGGCAAGGGTAATGCCTGGTTGGCCTTTCGACTAGTTTAACATGTGTAGTGACATGGAGGCGTAATGTGCCACAGTATAGCCTATCACCCCAGCAGGATGAACAGGTGACTGA